TGGTTCCAAGATGGCGAACCCTTGCTGAAAGCAGTACTTCTGGGGGGGCAAGAGGGGAGGGACTCCCAGTGGCAAAAGTCAGGGGCTGGGGTGGGACTTCCGGTCCCAAGATGGCAACCAGTGGGGCGGGGCATCTGTCGAAGGGTGGAGCTTCTACGACTTGGGCCCTCTACGACTTGCCAAAACTTGGTAAGCAGCCCTCTGCCAGAAATAATTGCCCAGTCCTGCCTGAGCTATGCTGTCCTTTTCTGTCGATATTGCTAAAGGAGCCCATTTTGATGATTCGGTGGGGCTGTGTTAGAATTAAAGACAGCTTTTACAAAAGTTAATTAGCTATGTGGAGGTGTTCATCTCTGCCCATGTAACTGCAACTATGACAGCAGCAATCTGACAACCCCACCCAAGCACCTCTGAGTTACTAGGAATACACTGTCACTTGCTGTGTCACAGTGCAGGTCTTTATACAGGTAGTTCTACCATCTGAAATAAGTATGTGCTGGCATTTTTTTTTGTCCTTGTTTTTTATTTTCCATTCAGCTTTTACAAACCTTTACAAAAAACCAGCCATAATGTATTAATAAGCAGAAGGATTTGAGTGGCTGTGAAATATTTGGCATCTTAAGGACATTTGGATCATTGATACCTGGGCAAAGGAGGCCCAGTTTGTGTTTCCATCAAGGACTGTGCCATTGAACCAGACAGTATGTTGTTCAATTCTGTAGCCAACTAATAGGTTGTAATAGTTCTAGCCCAGAGAATAAAACAGCTGATTATTTACCAGCAGATTTTTTGGTGGAAAGATTCTGTATAGCTTGGTGGTTTAACAGGAAATGTCAGGGGGGCAGCTTGTGCTCTCTGTATATCATTCGCATCCAGGGACTAGAGTTCCTAGGGAAAGGGGCTCCTTCCTCCTCTCCCACCTGTTCTCGCAAAACTGGCAGTGGGTTGGGGCTAAAGAGCTTGCAGATCCTCTGAGACCAATGCAGCTCTTGGGGTGGAACGTGGGAGGAGAAATGTGCCTTGGGCCAGAGTTACCCTTTCCCTTTCAAAGGAACAGCTGGTATGTCAGCACTGCAGCACAGGACTCAGAGGATCTAGTTCTAAATTAGTGAGCTTGCGGTACCAGTAACAATTTAAGCAAACAGCATGGAGCTCTGTATATGTGCTGTAAAGCCCACCTGGGGGAGCTGTAGCCTGTGCTGAACCTCATGCTGTCACAGCTAGACAGCCAGTTTGTAAACTAGTTAATCTGAGGCTAGTGATCTGCCCAATTCTGCAGTCACAGCAGGGACTGGAGTGCAGATGTACCTACTGCCAACTACTGATTTTAACCGACTTCGGGAGGTTGCATAACCAAGGAGGCCTTTCCACCACTTATCATTTGCCTTTTTGATTGAATAATCTAATGCGGGGGTTGGCAACCTTTTGCCACTGTGGTTTGGAGCTGCAAATCCTTACTTTTGCTGCGGATACCCTGGCTCCTGTGCAGCAAAGGTAAGTGCAGGCAGGAGGGCAGCAGGGAATGCTGCTGCAGAGGAGACGGGCAACTGCATTCTGCCTGATTTATCCTCCATCCCTACCACAACCCAGGCCAAGTCGGAGTTTTCTGAGCCGGATTTGATGACTTTGTGAGCCGGATGTAGCCCAAAGGCTGTAGGCTGTCAGCCCCTGAGGGTGAACCAGTCATCCCATTTATTAAAAATAGAAAGGTTAAAGTTAAGTAACGGCAGTATAGGAGAACAATATATCACTCAAATGAGCTTTTAAAGATATACAAGTTATTTGTCTCTGTATTTCGCAAGCATCTTTCAAGATGAAACCTGCAACTGTGGCTCATGTGGTAACATTACTAATTTTTGTGCGGGCCGGGAGCGACCCGAGCCCTTTTCCGTGCTGCACGCGGGCTGTGGCCAGCAGCCCGGGCACGCTGGATTGGAGAGGGAGGGCAACGAGCTGGAATTAGGCACAAACGCTTAGCGGTAGTTTTAAAGATTGTTTACTTACACCGAGATGGCAGTGGTGTAGGCTGGAAAACTTGCTTGAGTTGCGGTTACAGACAGGAAAGAAGAGAGGCGGACAAGAGTTCTAAACTCATGAACTCTAGCCCAATCCGGCTGAGGGCTCTGAACACGCGAGCCCATCGTGTCAACCGAAGAAAGTACTCGTCCGAAAGAGCTCTGAATAAACTCACACGAAGTTTGCTAGGCTTCGTGGGTCCGGTTCTTTTGCGCGCAGGAAGGGATACGTCTAGGCTGCGACGGGGAGAGGCTAGAGGCTGATCAGACCTCTGTTGCCTGCTTGAAATGTGTTGGGTCCGTAAGGATCCACCGTGCTTGGAGATCTTCACACAGCGTGAAGTCTCCTCCTCCCCGGTGTTTGTGGAGTCCTCCAACTTGGGCGGAAACCACTCAAGCCTTTTATACGGCTAGCAAGCCAATCACTAGCTGCCACATGTGAATAATTTAGAACTGGCCAATAATGGGGCTCGGATTAGCATACAAATGGCGGGAACTCTTTGCAACGAGCATTTCTGTGCTGCAACAAAGAAATGCACCCTGCAAAGAAAGCTTCAAATTGGCGGGAAATTCTCCCTTGCACCGGGGTTCTCTTTTGCAGCAGAAAACTCCACCGTGCAAAGAAGCTATAATTTAGCGGGAACAATTTAGCAGTGCCGAAGCACACAAAAACAAAAATCACACCCTTTGGGTTGTGACAATTTTCAAGTGTTATATTTGAATAAAAATGTATTCAAAGTGGAGAAAATGTGAGGGAGGTATTACTCTTCCTTTGCATTTATGTAGCACAAAACCAGCTCTCACTCAAAAACCCAGAAAAAAATTGGCTCTGATCAAAAGCCAAACACTGAAAACTTTAACTGGTGGAAGGGTCATCCTGGGGTTAAGAGCAACTGCAAAAGGGGCAATTATAATGCAAGTTATGGCAGTGATCCTAACTAGTGTGGGCTGTCAGGTGCTTGTTCTAAATATGGTGCATCAGAATTAAAGAGGTTGGAAAATATTGAATTGTATGACGAGTGTAAATTTGTCATATGCAGAAGGGAACTGTTTTTTCTACTTAAACTCTGACCAAAAGGAGTGCCTTTTCCTATGGTAATATAATTGTCAGAGATTCTGGAGTTGTAGGATTCAGATAACAGAAATAATTATTAATAGACTGGCATTACAAAAAGCGAAGTACCAAGTCCAGGTAATATACAGCCATTAATTTTGGGAACAGTAGGACTTCCAGTCACTTTGCTGTAAAAAAAAAAAAAAAATAAAGTGTCAGAAAAAAAAATAAGATTCCAGCCATTGTAGTTGCGGAGAAACATCTTGTAAGTGTGACCCTACTACCCCAAAAGAAAATAACAACAAAAAAACCTCTGGATGTGTCTCATGTCGTGACTCGGTGCTGTGATTTGAGTGGAAGGAGGGGTGGGGAACACTGATTTATGATTGTTTGCATATACTGATATATTTCAGTGATGTCTCTGCATCAGAAGAATGAGTGAACTACAAACTTGGCAGTCAAGGCCCATGTGGTTATATGGCACGTTAGATCAGGTATACTGTGAAGAGTAAAACTTCTCAGCTTCCTATTTCAGCTGGAACCTGACATACAAGCATCTGAGTCTGTTCCTTTTGCCTGTCAGATTAAGGAAACCCAACTCTCCAGTTTGTCCTTGAACCCAGGCTTCTAATGTTTCACTGCTATTGTTCAGGATGTTTTCAGATGATTTCCATGTAAGAGCAGCCTAGAGAGATTAGAAATTAGACGGAACCATCTTTTTTTCAAAAACAGAGGGTAGTACACCTGGAAACATAATCCACAAGGACTGTGCATCTCCTGCTGTGTTTAGAAAACACAGTATATAGTGAGCGTCTCAATTAAATATTTGTTTGAGGCATTTAAGAAAATTCTGTGAATGTTCCTTTAATTTTCAGGTATAGGTTTTTTGTCCTCATAACACTCTTAAATTCCTGCAGAGGGTATCCAGATCTTCCATTTGTCTTCTGAACAGCATACTTCCAAAGCCAAATGATCCATCACTATTTCTAATCCAATCCATGCATGCATGCAAAAAGATGGAAGTTTTGAACAAATGCATTGACCCAAAGCCTGCTTCCGTGTAGCATCAACAATGCATGCCTTGCAGATATTAACCCCTTATTCCTGGTGACTTTTTCATGCACACGTAACACTCAACAATACATGTGGCAACTTCACGTCCAGATTAGCATTCCCTATCTACCCTAAGGGAAAGAAAGAGGCAGACAGTATTAAAATTGCTTGATTTCACTGCCTTAAAGAACAAATAAACAAAAAGCTTAAAAAAACTCTAGTTTTTTCCTTATATAAGTAATATACAGGGCTTGCTGAGCTCTAGAGGAGGTGGAAGAACAAGTTGGATAGTGTGTGTTTAACACTTAATAAAACTTTAAGTGTCTTCTCCCCCACCGTACGTGTGCAAGGGCAGATTGATGGGGGGCAGAATACACCAATGTGGATGCAGCCCCCTCTTCTGCCATTGCCCCTGGCTGGTCGCAGGGCGAGCTGCAGAGCCGCTCAAGCCATAGGCTGCAGCTGTGCAGGGTGCCAGGCTCGGCAGCCTGGGGGGGGGGGGGGGGGGGGCGGCAGAGCCGCTAAAGCCATAGGCTGCAGCTGTGCAGGGTGCCAGGCTCGGCAGGGGACAGTGGCAGCAGAACTCAAGTTCCTCCTTCCAGTGCTCGCTTCCTGCTTGCCCCTCCTCTGCAGTTGTCCTCCGTTGGCCAGAAGGCACTGGAGGGAGAAATCTGAGAGCTGTTGCCAGTGTTCCTGGCTGAAACAGGCATGGGGGGAAGCCCAGAACCACTCCTGCCCCAGGCTGAAGGGAGTAGCTCTGTGGGGAACTGGACAGTTGGGGACAGTAGTGGCAGAATGCAGGTTCCTCCCTCCAGTGCCTGCTCCTGGCCAGCAGAGAACACCAGGGAGGGAGCAGAGACTGGAAGTAGGCAACTGCATTTATAAGAGAAATACTGTGCTATGCTGTGCCTTTTTGCATTATTTTTTTTCTATCAAGTAAGTGTACTGCTTTCTTTTAACATCAAAGGACACACTAGAACAGTATAATGCTCTAAATGTAAAGAGCACAGTATGCACAATTTTCTCTGCTACAGCAGCTGTTTTAAACTGACTTCCAGGGAAATGACTTGCAGATGGACTACAGTGGTGTCTTTGTTCAAAGGGTATAGATAAAAATCAAATTAATAAGGAAAGGCCTTGCAGTTACAAAATTATTGGCACTTTCCCCTTGAATACACCATTCAACAATACTGTTATTATTTGGGCCTGAAAAAAATGTTTGATTTGTATTCCCAAAACTCCACGTCTAGTTGCTGTGACATATAGACATGAACATTTTTTGACCAGATCAGCTGACACCAAGGTTGTATAGTTTCAGTAGCCAAAAAGTTTGTATTTCTAAATGTCCAGGCAAGCTTCTTTGGGTAGATGTGATATATCTTTTATTAGAAAATGAGTAGTTGGAAAAAAGTTGTTTGCAAGCTTTTGGGCACGAGCACCCTTCTTAAGTATTTATAAATGTCAGTCATATGGGCTAGGAAATACAGAGGGGACTGCATTTCATCTAGGAAATTGTTGGTAATTTAATAATAAAAGGAAGTGGATTACATGGTATTGCCAAAAAACTACTTTCTAGCTATGATTATGCACATGGCCACAAAGAAGCTGATGGTTGGCTGTTTGAGTTAATTATGCACTGGGTTGCTGCACACAGGTCATGTTTGACAAGCTTGTGAAAAGCAGACTTGGCTGAGCCAGCTGAAATGCCGTGTGCAAAGATCAGTAGCGCTGAATGCAGTTTAGTGAGTGCAAGGGATGGCAGTTGGTGGGAAGTATTTAAACTGGGTGTAAGTGTAAAGAGCTGAGTGCAGTGTGCAGCTACATATAAAGCACACGGATTAAAATTGGGACCTCGGCATGGGTGCGTAGGGAGGGCACACTGATTTAAGTGACAGCAATTTTCAAGCTGTCTTATGATCGTGCTTTTAATACTTGGAACAACGTCTCTTGGTAAGGTCTGTTTGGCGTTACAACACTTGAAGCCGGGAAAGAAGATGGAGAGAATATCAGACGGTAATTTGAAAAGGGAGAAGTCCTCCCTGGCTACTTTAAACAGCAACAGCATAACCCTGGTGGCTGTTCGTAAGCAGCAGCCAGCTACCGATGTGCCTGAACTACTGATTGTCAGTGAGAAGTCCAAGCCAGGATCTCCTGTAAAGGTGCACAGCAGTTTTCAGAAAGAAGAGAGAGTTTCACAGGGTTGCTCCATGGGGGTATCAGAAGTCAAGGCTGAGCAGGTCAGTGTACTATAAAATGTAGTTTGAGCTTGAAGAAAATGTGCTGAACACCAAATATAAATCAATAAGCTTCACGTTTTTATGCTCAAAGTTTGATCTTCTCCCAGGCATGTTGTGGGTCATAAATGCCATACAAACAAGATCCTCTAAAATGTAATCGGTAAAAAAAGGGTTGTTTTTAAATATAAGTAGTATTATGCAACTTTAATAGGTGTCCTTACTAGCCAGCTCTGCCTATAATAATGTCGTATGTGGGTTTCTAGTTGCTAATAACAAATAAAACGTTAATCTTTCCTTCTTTTAAATTGTACCATTTCAATGAAGTCATCAGATTGTGGTTAGGTTATTCTCTGGAATGAGAGAAACTGTCTGAATAATGAAAAAGAACATAATTATAGGTAAGTAGCTTATCTATCATTATTTGGTTGATACTGGCAAATATTCTCAATGCTACAGCTGTGGTAGCAGCCTTCTCCCTCCTATCTGGTCCCTAACTGTACCTTAGTTTTGTAGATTAACTATTGTTAAGAGAAAGTTATTATATTTTGAAAGATGTGATCTTGTAAAACATGATGGAGCTTGCTTCTAGTAAGGATTTTTTACTGGAAAAAGATGCAGAAAAATGGTAGGTACATATGAACTGATCATTGGACAAGGTTTAAAAAAAACCCCTGTTATGTTCAATCAGTGATTCTCAACCAGGGTGCTGTGGCACCCCAGGGTACCTTTAAGATCCTTTCAAGGTGCCTTACGGTGCCAATCATTGTTAGCACTGTTCAGTGTGCAAACACGATTCACAAGATAAGATCATAAATTTTTAATAAAAATCCATAGTGTTAAAATGATTTTAACCTGCTGTGGTCTTTCGGAGTTTTTTTGCTGCAGAAGAATTGCTCTATTATTTTTCTGTAGTCAAAAAAAATGAGTGAAAAGTAAGATCTTCTGAGGAGCATCTCAAGCTTCAGTCTAAAAAGGCTGAGAACCACTGCTTTACATACCTAAAAGGCTGAGAACCACTTTACCACTGTAGCTAAAGTGACTTGAACTATTAACACTGCAGTAGAACACAATGACCAAGTAAACCTAGAGCCTTTTACTGTCTATTTTATGGCAAACATTTGTAATATGAGAAACAAATATAACATCAGTAGATTTGTTCTGAGAACTGATTTCTTTGATGTATAGAGTTCAGGTATTTAACATGTAAAATGTATTGTATTACCTTTTGTATCTGAGCTGTGAAAATTGTGTATAACAAAGCTATTATTTTGAATAAGAAATTTAAAAAATTGGTGCAGAGGCCTTCTCCCCTAAACAAAGCTACTTAAAGTAGTCCATATTTAACTACACTGAAAGGCACTGAATTGAGTCTGTGAGATGCATTAAACGTGCAGTATGGGGTTTGTCCTTTCAGTAAGACTTGTTATATAGCTACTTAAACATTTGTCATCTTTCCCATTGTTACACTGAGGATGAGAAAAGTCACCTCCCAAAGCTGTTTTGTGGCTTAATTAGTAAAGCCTAGTTAAGTTTCTCCTTAAGTATGAATTCCATTGAACAAGAAATTCCTGGTTTTGTTTTTAAAAGGACCAAGGGTTGTAAAACTATGTATTGTTATTAATAGCTACCAATAATAAAACCTACTATTATTTGCTAGTTATGTTTGGCTGTGTGTTTTAACTGGGGAATAAATGTCTATTGTGACACTCAGATCTGGCAGATTCTGAAATTATTATTGTTCCTACGAAGGATCTTTTTTACTTTTAAAAGGCTCCTCTATTAGAGGTGGTGCAGCCTATTGAGAGGTGTTGGTGTATAAAGAGAGAGTAATTATTGCAGTTTGCATGGGAAAATTTGAAGATCCCACCTACTTGATTGGGTGAAAAACAGTAGCAGAAAAGAAGAGTGTAGCGGTTGCACTGATATCTGTTATGAGTGATGAGAATGGCAACCTTCCTGCCTACTAGAGAGTCCCTTTCCCTGGCTGCTCACGGACATAGTGAGCAGCTATGCTAGCAGGGGGGAATAGAAGAGGCACTGATGTAGGGCCAGTATATTGGAAATCCCGTGGCCTCTGTCCTGGTTTTGTTGCTAATGAGTCACCAGGCTGCCTGTGATGAACAGGGGAAATGTCTGTGGTATTTTTAGTTAATATTAATGAGTGACTGTTTAGTCTTGTCATGTTGTCTATCAAAGGAGGCTGTAAAGGGGTTGTTAAAGGACTGTGGGGGAGAGATAAAATAACGATGCAAATAAGAGAGCCCCATGTACACAACTTCAAAGGAATTAGGAGGACAAGGACTAGCTTCATCCAGACTAGGATGTTGAGCCCCTTGGCTCAAAGCTTTTGAAAATAGTGAGCTTGCTCTTGACACCTTTTAGTGAGCAGGGGGAGGAGCAGCTCAGAGCTGCTCGAGGTTTCCAGGTGGAGAGAGGCTGTACAGGGAAGGACGCTTTATGCTGGCATTTGCTGGTGAGCAAGAGGAACTGACTGGGCCAGGCCTTAGTTGTATTTTTTTGATATGATAGCTTGGAGCATTTTATTTAAGATGTATATTTTTAGTTTGGGGGGATAAAAAGGCAGTTACCCCTGTCTACTAACAAAAAGATAAGATGACCATATAACACAGCGGTGCCCAATCTTTTCACCCTGCAGGCTGGATTGGTGGTGCCAGGTCCATCTGTGGGCTTGATCTAGCCAGTGGGCTTGTTCTGGTACCTGGGGCCAACACAGCAGGGTCCTGATCCAGCCACAGAGAAGCTGCCCTGGCGGGCTGGGAATGGCTTCCCTTTGGCCTGGGGGGAAGGAGGGGGTGGAGAGAACCCAGTCCCAATCCTGATGCCTGGTGGTAGAGTAGAGCATGTGACAGAATGGCTCCAATACAGACATGCTGGGGAGAGGGGAGCAAGGAGAAGCACAGCCCAATCCCGATGTTTGAGGAATAAGCCTGGCCCTGATCCTGCTGTGTGGAAATGGCCCAGGTGAGGCTGGATCCAGTTGTGCAGAGCTTCCATCTCTCCCCCGCTGCCAAGTTTCCCAACCTGTGGAGATCCCTGCAGGCCAGATGGCTTGGCTTCACGGGCTGGATTTGGCCTGTGTGCAGGGGGTTTGGGTATCCCTGGTATAAAGCATGGAGAGGTAGTTAGCCGTGTTCATCTGAAGCTAGACAGAAGGCAAAGCAGTATGGTACCTTGTGGATCAACTCATTCAGAGTTGGTTTATCACAGTTGTTCTCGACCATTTTGGACTTAGGGCACCTCCTCCATAATTTTTCTGAAAGTAATGGTATCCTGTTTAAAAATCAGAAAATTTTGCAGTGAGTAAAAAATAATACAGCTAGAAACACATTTTTCAATAAAAAGGAGAAAAAAACTCATGAATAACCACAATATTATAATCAGTGATCTAGAAAGTGGATTATTTTAATGTGAAATTAGATTTCTTATAGGAACAAGGGCATTGTGGAAAACCCATGTATGCTGGAACCCACTCAATCCACCCAGCTTGGTGGAACCCACTCATTTTCAGATCGTTGCCTAAAGTGTGGGGGTGAGGAGGAAAATTAAAAAGGGGCAGCCCTATAAAATGGGGAGAAGGGAGGCTCTCCATTCAGGATGGCTGGACAGTGAACAGGGGTCTGTGGATGGAGATGCCTTTACAGGGCAGCCAGTCCACACCATGGGAAGGGGCTGGCTGGTGCAGCATGGGAGGGCATGTATAGGGTAGTAGGACCAGTGGCTTCTGTTGCCAGCTTGCCCTAGGCCCCAGCCACAGATTGCTTTTGGGAAGGATGTCCTGGAGTGAGGGCTGTCATCTTGCCCTAGCCGAGAGCTCCTGCCTGACTTACCTTTGCAATCATGGCTGGAGCCCGTTACAGGAAAGGGAAGAAAGGTGTATGCCACCCCTGTGTCTTAAAGCAGGTTGAAGCCTGTCTCCAGAATTGCACTGGTTGAAAATCACTGGTATATAAGGTACCACCCTGTCCTCCATACTGTATAACAAATGCTTGGGGCAAGGTGCTGCTCTGACCTAAACAGTAACCTGGCAAAGCTGGATCAGTAAGGAATTACTACTGGGAGTGCCTGTCTCCTGGCAAGGAGTTTTAAGGCTTCTATATCCCCCCTGATTCTTCCCCAGCCCTATACTAGGACTGTGCTGGGGCAGAGGGCAGCACTGACAGAATCCAATGGCTTGGCTGGGACACTCCAGGGAGGGTGGTCTCCTTCACCAGAGCTGCAGTTACATCAGCTGTGATAGATGGTAGAGCCCCCAGGGCAGCCCACCAGCTGGTAGTGAGGTCTGACCTGCCTGAACTTTGGACTCTTGTCAATCCTGCGAATGAGCAATGCATTGTGATTGGATAGGAACAGAGGAGGGAAGTGGCCTATCCTGGAGCATGTGGTGACATCAGCCTTTCTCAGTCACAAGAAAGTCTATTGCCATGACACCCAAAGTATGTCTGTAGTTGTTCTGCATTGTCCTGATGGCATCACCAGAATGCCACCCTACTGCCACTTCCACTCTGTAGGTGCCAAGCTTGGAAAGGAGGCAGCAAAGAGTCCTTGAGAGTATCCCTTCCTGCTTAATCTTCTGTCCACCGTCCCACCTATCCCTCTGCTGTGCTGCTGTCAGGCATCAAGAGCAGTGGAGGGGGGATGCTCTGCTTTGTTCCCAGGTTTGGCTCATGCGAAGCAGGAGCTGGGTGGCCAGGATTTGTCTCTGGGCAGTGCCCTTTGCGATGCCACAAAAGGGGGGCAGATGCTGCATCGAAGTGTGTGCATCAGTGGGGGTGGGGGAAGTCTTAGCAAATAGATGCTGTGGATTTATTAAGTACTGGCTTTCACAAGTTTTATTCTGTACTCTCCTCCACCCATAAGTTGTCTGTTCAAACCTTTGGATTTATTTGGTACTTTCTAGTGGGGGAAGTATTATATGTGAAGGGCACCAGATAAAACTTCCTGGTGTTTTTTGGGTTGGGGCTTGAGCCAAGTGGTAATTT